CAAATGTTCTCTATTATCATAATTATAACAGGGTCCTGAAGGGGGTCTGGATCCCATTTCCCAGCCATTTTTTAGACGAAATCCCAATCCCAACTATGAAATTAAAAGAAGATCACAAAGCATGCAAGTGGTTGATCTATCTGTTGACTTGAAACGCAATCCAGCGTTCAGTTACTTTCTTTTTGCTAAGTAAAAGGTTTGGAGTCTATAATAGATTTTGTTAAATAGTATGCATTCACTTAAATAACTATAGTAGGAAAAAATTACCTCATCGACACGGAATTAGCATAATATAGCACTAGTCATCCTGGCCTTTTGTAGACAAGTTCTTAACCTGAGGTTGATCCGTAGGTCTCTCAGTGCAAGTTAGTAGGTATCCGTAAGTTATTAAACACTGTCCAACTACAACTGTTTTTAGAATGGTATACAAGTTTTCCTATTTTTGTGTCTATCATTCCCTGCACTCCCAGTAATCCAAATTCCATTTCCCCAGTTCAAAACTAGGAAAATCCCAGTTCCCATTCTACCCCTTCAGGACCCTTTATAAACTGTGGTAGGCAATGCGCAGCCCACTCCCATGATATTGTTTGGCTTGTAAAGAAAATCGTAACCGTGCAATTAGACAGTTAATGGTGTTGTAACTAAAATTTTAGAAACCGGGATGTTTAGGTGGAACTGACTGACAACATTGTGTCTGTAAATCCGCATATATTGTGTCAGGTTTCTGGAGGAGGACAGGCAGACTGCCAATATTCAGCAGCGCTCAGAACAGAGGTCTCTTTTTTTCATCCCCTCCCCCCACCGCTCTGATTCATCGGGTACTTGTAAGCATTGTTGGCAACGGCAATTGTCGATGATTTCTTTCATCCACAGCTGAATATACATTGGCATATTTTAAATATTAGTGTTGCTTCTACTGAGGTGACTGATATAATTCACGGTTTCGTCTTATGATTATACAACCATAAATAGGATCTTAAATATTGTGCACAATTATTCTTAATGAGCATAAAAATGTGTTTTCCCAGCTCGTTAACGGTCTCACCTGCGACACGTAGAAGTTGACGTCAGGATGTGATAATGAGTGGCGAACTCCATGTCTTTTCCCTTGTCACTATGTCACTGTACTCTTGTCTTCAGAGATTAAAAAGTTTTCTTTAGTAGCGATTTAATAGGTTAACCGACGTTCAGTATCATGCATGTATAAATTATGTTACTCTTTCATATCCTACAGATTGACACAAAAGAATCCCGTTCTATTTACCTTGCAATGTTATCTATAGAACTGGGATATCCAAACGTTTATCAGATAATGAAAAAAGTCGTGAAAAGTAGTTGTGTTTCTTGTTTTAAAATGCTTTATTAATAAATATTCATTTTACAGGGCCATCTGAAGCCGCGGCATTGATATTTTGTACATATCAATATAAGAACAAAACCAATTCATTCATGCTTGTATAATTGTATACAGAGCGAACGTCATTTCAAATTGACTTGTGGATGAGGTTGTATAAAGAGTGCAGTATAAAATCTTGAATTTTTAAATGCGAAAGCTTTGCAACTTTGATCAAAATTTCTTTCAGGAGACACGGAAAACGCTCTTCTGAGGTTTCAAACACGCAAAAATTTTCAGGGAGAATTTTCCCAGACCCCCTGGTTGAGTCTCCAATTATAATTTGCTTCCGACGGCGCTGTTTTGGTGGTTATATTTCTTCTGCATGATTAATTTTATGAACGCTAACCTAATTTGTCTAATTTTCAATTGTATTTGTGGTTTCAGTGAGCGTTACCAGGCATGCAGAAGAAATGCTGACATTTATAGAAGCAACATAATTGAAGTCAATTTTACATATAATTGTCCACCAAATACAAGATTGCTATACAGTATTATGATTTCTTCACTCTGATAGCTGCCGGTTGACCACCATCTGTCGCACAATAGTGCTCAATAAAAACACCAATATAGAGATTAATACGAGTTAAATGCTATTTAGTGCCACCCAATGAATAAATCCTTCGTGTGCCGGCGTTTGCAGCACATATCATCTTCAATTGACCTTGATAAAATTCACCAGACTTGAGTACTCAATTGCAACCATTCAGAATTTTGTCAATTGCGTTAACATCGAAGCTTGTTACACTCCTCCCCTACTGGGTATAATAGTGCTAACATTATAATGACCATTCATGTCAAATATGGCGGTAAAGTGAGTATAATATTCTGTTTATAGCTAGCTCAATTAATTTCAGAGGCCAGCACCCTGATAGTGTCATCAGTTGCCCATTGACCCGAATATTTCTCAAAATTTCTGAATTCGCATGATTTATCCAGGTGTATTGTACGCCGCGCATGCGTCACTCGTATTTATTTGGCCAGCATATGTGGTCGCTGATGGATGCATCTATGTTTAGACATAAACATTCCAAGATAGAAACCGGAACGCTTTAATTCAACGATGAAAACTCTTCGTATATAATTATAGCCATTAATAATGCACTTGGACCACTTTCTCTATCGTAAACAACAAAGGAATTCTGTTTATGGTCAATTTGTCTGAATATGGCTTTGTAGAGTCTTTTATGAATACATATAAATTTAGTAAACACAATCTCTATGTGCGCAAGGAATTCAGATCACACTGAAGATTTAATTAGGACTAGGCCTAACAAAACCCCTGAGATTTGTAAAATAATTATACACCTATATAAAGATTATGGGATGGAAATTCAAAACGTAAGCACAAAATAATGATCGAAACGCTTGGGGAAAACTACTATCTCTGCAATCTCTGGCGCCTTTAATTTTCTATCTGTCAGCAAATCCGTATCTATTTATCTAAACTGAGACGTTCAAATGGGTTACAGCTGTTTGCGCTGAATTGTTTTGTATTATATCAAAATATTCGCATATTTTTATTAAGACGTTTCCGCGCTGTGCCGTTCTGAAGATGAATATTTATATTTTACTTCTTTATTAGCATTTTGTGTGTCGATTGTACGCACGTGCGTCTAGCCTTCTCTAATTTTATCTGCGCGCAATCCATTCTTATTCCATTTGGCGCTCTTCATTTACGCATTGCCCAAAAATGGCGTTGCATGACAGCAACGTTTGTCATTTTGCAAAATTAATGTAAACATCAAAAGCACGTCAGACAACGGAATAACACCCGTCTTAAATTTCTTTAACGTAATTGAATGCAACTATTCGCCTCGTTAACATATATGGTCGCGCAAATATATATATTTAAGAGGGAAGTAGACAAAATAATTTGAAATCATCACAGCAGCAAGTAGGTGAACGATGCTCGGAGAAAATTCATCTCTTTTGCGCCGGATGTTTATAAATGTCGTGTAGAAGTGTTTACTAAAGAATTAAGCAATTGAGTCGTGTACATTGTCGTGTGGTTTGATTCAAAGAAAGAAGTTAGCGTTGACCCTTCAGGTCAGCTATATAACGGCTGCTTGATTGTTACTAAATCAGAACGCGTCGCATGGTGCATACAAAAACAAGATCGCGGGCGACGGTCAACAATTATTAGTAGACCGTTGGAAACGTTAGATGCAAAATTTCCCTAGAATTTCATTGCTCCGAGATTCTGTGATTAGAAGCAAAGAAGGAAGCTATTAAACTGACTGAAGTGGATAAAGTCTTAAGGAAGCAAACAAGGTAGGATAAACACGTGGGATGTAAGCTTATCTTGCTGGTAGACGTCGGGGTAATATTACCAAATGCAACTCTCTTTCTTCCACATTTAATGCCGTGACTTACCATCGATATTTCCTGTTTAATTGCATTTTAAAGTGAGGTGTTAGGTCACGCGAATTTTGCACAAAATGTACAGTTTTGCCTTAGCATGTGCCGGCTGTGCGCAATGGTCCATTAGCCACTCACTGAGAAACGCTCTTATCTCTAATTCCTTGCAATTATTTTAATGGGGCTTACTGCGGTGCGAAACTTTATTGGGGCAGAATTTAGAGATAACGGCAAAGTACGAAACTTTTACCTTGCGTTGGTTATAAAAGCAGTATATTACTTCAAATAGGTGCGTCTACTTTATGAGAATTCGGAATAATTTGCGAATTGTGATTACAACCCGTTTGAAATCGAAAAAAAGATCGGCGGTATTATCGGCTCTATCAATTTTGAGCTAAATTTCGTATTTTTCAAAACATGTTAAACATCGAGCTCAAGTAGGTATTCGCTAGCTCATCCCAGTTTACTGTCTTGTCTGTCAAGACTATTACGTTTATTCACACGAATCCTCTGCGTATTGTTTGATTAGAACTTAATTAGAGCAACTGAAGTAGGTTGAATTGGTAAACATTGTATACGTCTACCTAACCATTCAAATTCCGCACATCTGGACTGGTTCAACTAAAATGCTTTATAATGACATCAACACCTCGGATTTTGTAACTGTCGGAATTGGCCGTTTATCAACAGCACACGTAAAATGCTGATGCCTTGGCATTGAATTTATACAGTTTAAACTTCACTTAGTTGGAAAATCCTAGTTTACGATTATACTATAGATACCCGCCAATACTGCATCATTCCTCATTAATCTTATCTTGTGCACAATTTTCTTAATGAGCATAGAAATGTGATTTCCCAGCTCGTTTACTTACAAGTTGTCGTCGGGATAATGAGTCGCATTCCATGTCTCCTTTTTTCAATTTACTGAGGAGATGACAAGTATATGTAGATGTAGTTTAGGCCGACTTCAGTTGCTAGTGGAGACTCGCGAGGGTTTAGTTGGAGACTTAGAGTTGTTGCATTGAATGAAATTGTGTCCTTGTTTGATCACACGACTTTGCTGTAAGTATTAAAAATAATATATTAAATTATTTGAATAACTATAGTGTTTAAGATTATTTGGAAGAGTTTACAGTATAAAGTTATCATAAATTTGGTTGGTGCATGACTATCATCATACAAAACAGGTGTTCACTTTTATGAGGCTATATGTCAAGTAAATATTTTCGTATTTCTTTTTAAAATGGGCAGTGTCGTGGTTTTAGTTCCCTACCGCGAAGGGTGCTACCGTTAAACAAGTATATGGTTACGCAGCGAAATCGGGAAACGTAAAACTGTGAGCGCGCGTTGTAATTCACACGTGCTTGAGACGCAATATATGCAAATGTTTTGAGCGAAGTGTTTAGACAAACGGCTTTAGGGGACTCCGTAAAGTGACCTTCACAAGCAATGGCAAGATTATTAGAATAAGAGAGAACTATATCGTTATATCAACTGCTATTATTTTGTTTTGCTGTAATCTGTGTGATTAGATCTTTTAGAGAATAAAAACGTCTATATGGGTAGTTACGATGTATTTATGACGCTTGACACTTTACTAGCTAGCAGGTGTAGGTGCATGTCAAGAATAAGGTCAGAAAGTGTTTTAACATCAAATATATACTATTAGAATGATCTTTTTAAATAACAAGAAATGTAAAATGGTCATACAGCATTAAACGTTGCTTCCAAATTTCCAATGTTAAATATGTCGATGATTTAATTCGATTTTTATGACTTAAATTCTACTTAGTCGTTACACTGTGACTCATTAAAGTAGTTTTTAATAATGATGTATTTAAAATGTGAATTAGAATGAATTTTAATTGGAACGTTTACATTAAGTTTAATCGGGAAACCCATACCGCGCTACTTCGCGTGATTTGTCAAATAGTTTTAGTTATTTTTAACTAATTTAATATTGCGTGTTCTCTCATCAGCATCAATGTATGGCGGAAATAGCGCACAAAATCTCTCAAAGAACGAGACAAAGAATTACAAAACTGCATTTAACCCAATAGGACCTGAACTCAACATTTTTAATGTATCATGCTGACACTAAAACTAAATCGCCAATAACGCAGACTAGCTCCTCCCATTGACCAATCAACGGTCGCTTGATCTTACTTTAAAGTAATAAACTTGCGCGAAGTTGCAATACTCCTCAAAGGAAGATTTTTGAAACTTACGGTATTTTTCTCTAAGTCGTTTAGTGCGTTTACTGCCTCACTGTGATAAAATTCCTCTGTTAAAAATATATCTTTGCGGGATGCCTTATTGACGTCAGCAAGTCAACTAAATTGATTTTTATCGGCATTGAAATGTATTTAATTTTCAGTGTTCATTTTTTCTAATTAAGTCTTATCCTAAAAAATATAAATGTAATATAAAGTAGTTTAAGACCAATACCGGACAATTGGGCAATGCCTCCTTCCGAAATTTGAAAGGGAATGTTAATTAAATAGCCCCTATTTTCAGTAAGGTATTAAGAAGCACTGAAGGTACCTTTGAGGAACACAATTTAATCACTTATCTGTATAAGATTTTCATGTGGGTTTTAATTCAAATGAAAGGGTGTGGTCCCATATGTCTAAGTTTCAAAAGAAAACGTTTCAAATTTCATCAAAAAACAAACTTATATGTATGATGACAAAATATTCAATTCATGAATGCATGCATGTTTTCATCATTAAAAGAATTATGAAAATTCAGATTATGCATGAATCTTTTGTTGCATTGTGCTGTAATTGGTGTTTTTTTCTGAATGGGGCGCAAATATTATTTTGTGAGTCGAGTTGCTGTTGCTGTGTAGCTGTGAGAGGGAAAGAAAATTCTGTCTTCTAATGGGAGCATTTATATTACTCTTACACGAAGTTTTAGGCTTGCTTTGCATTAGAGACTTTAACGGAGTTTCTGGCGAGCAGTTATATTACTCTTACACGAAAGTTGTTGAAAAGCTTTGTGCTCGCCAAAACCTCGTTAATTAAACCATTAAAGAACTCTGCGGAAGAGAGTGAATAAAAGTATTTATCTCATCACAGCCAAACAAATATCAAACTAGTTTACCCACAGGGTAGTGAATGCTGCCTTGGTATAGCATTGTTCCCAAATCTTTAAATTTTATTTTTCGATACGTTTCTCAATCGGTAAAAAAAAACTTAAAAAGTATGTTTAGTGCTTTATCTGTAAAATAATGCTAAAATGAAGAGATTTTAGATGATACGCCAAAGAGAAAATGATGTCTGAAGTTCAGTACGTTTTGCTTAAATGGCTGGAAATATAGCGTCAATTTTAAGGCATCATTGATAACTGTATTTTAATTGGCAATTTTTAACTATTATTTTATGTTTCTCAACCGGCAGACGCATTTAAAAAGGTAGCTAACTCTATAAACTGTCGAGAATAAAGCTAAAACAAAGTAAGTTTGAGAGGAACGCCAAAAAATTTTAGGTTTTGAACACTTTTCATTGCAAATACGTGACATTGAAAAAAAATTGCCTCTTAATATTTTAAAGAATAAGAGTAAGAAATATTGGTAATGAATTGGAATCATCCATAATTTATACACTTGAATGTGCCGCGTATGATAACTCGGCGGTTGAAGTTTCGTATCGAAAGAGGAACAGCCGAGCAGGTACGATGGTAGCCTGCTCGCAGGCCGTTGCTAGTACGATGGCTAACAAGAATGAGTGTACTTATCAACTTATCTAACGCGAGGAAAAGATCAAAATGGCAGGTATGGCTGTGATATCTAGTATATAAAATTGTATAGACAATTTGCCCACAAATACGGTGCTAGGTCAAAACGGCCCAAAGTCAAAACGGCCCAAAGTCAAAACGGCCCCGCTTCAATAATCATATGATTTAGACCAGGGGTTAAAGGGCAATGACAATGACATGCAGGTGACATTTAACATGTGCGAGTGTGCGTCTCACTAAATTTGCGTGTTTAATAATGTTTATCAACGAAGGCAAAAATATATACAAGACAACCTCACATGTGGCATCTGTTCACTTACGCACTGCGTTGTGATGCAGTACAAGTACAAGTACAAATACAAATGATAAAGCATTTTTAAAGGCTTTAAATCCTAAAACATAATTAAATCATACGGCACATTCAAGATTTTACTTTTACTTATATCGTATTTCAGCCGCGTTTATACTGCTTGGCGCGCATTTGCTGCGTTATATTAATTTATATACCTATGTTATATACATAGATTTATTACTAATAAATCAACACTATGTGATAATATATAAGAACTCACAAAGTGCAGTTACCTTTTTACAAATAAACCTTTTTAAAAGCATGTCATTGTCATTGCAGACCAGAGGCAAAAAAACACAACCACATAGGCCTACCAGATTTATTAAGCAATCGTGAGATTATATACATGGAAAGAATATGGAAATTATGTTAAAAGCACCCTGTATAATGACGAAAGCACCACGTATAATGCTCGAACCACTGCGTATAATAGCGAAACCACCGCGTTTAACGCTCGAACCACTGCGTATAATAGCGAAACCACCGCGTTTAACGCTCGAACCACTGCGTATCGACAAACTGCCGTTTGATCACTTACGCCAGCTATGGCTTTCCATAAAAGAAAACCAAAGATGAAAGATGATCACATTGCTTGTTTGCCTTATGCCTGTTTATTAGGCAAGAATAGCCTGCCGGCCCGGAAGCAGTGCATTGTGGTAGGCCGAAATGCGCCGAAACGATCGAGATTTCATCTGCCTTATATATATATATATACATATACATAAAGATTAGGTCTGCTGCCTCGCTCGCTCGCTTCACGCTCGCTCGCTACGGCAGCAATAATTTTGGCTTCGTATCCGGCATACAATTGAGTTTAAATTAAATAAATTAAATTAAGTAAATGTACATAATCAGCCTCTGGCTACCGTGCATAGGGCATGCAATATGTGTAATGCGATATGGCGTGATCCATGCAAATAATAATGCGATATATGGCGTGATCAGGCTAATAAAGTAGGTGCAGACTTGTAAGCCACCTGATTCCAACGACCCCCAAACTGCCAATAGATTATATGTTCTGCTTATATACCTCTATTATTGGCTTATGTAAAGATATATTCCCATTAGTTATTGGACCCATTTTGTGCAGTTCATCAAATCTAAGTGTGATATTCCTTAAATAATAAAAGGGCCATGTTTCGTGCAATTAATTTTTTTGTATCATGGTTATGAACGAATTATAATGTCGTTTGCTTTAGAACATGTATAAGAGTCCTTAAAGGTGCCCTATATTATAGACTTCGATACCAATGCGGTCATGCGGAAGAATCTAGTGTGAACTCTTCGTTCTTGAATATTACATTCCTTGCCCTGGTCGTCCTTGCTTCCATTATTTCTCCAGATGTATACATGTTTGCCGTAGTGTTCTCATCAGAATCCTAAACTGGTTAAAAAGTACACTATAGTTAAGTTGATGAATTATTATCCTGTGTCCTCAGCCACTAATAGACTCAACTGATGAGTGCGTAATAGTTTTAAAGAAGAATACATTGTGATAATCCACCAGAGCCATCAGGAATCGTTAATTAAGGTGCGGAACGTCAGACGAACTTTATTTCCTTTGAAAAAGGACTTATATTTTGCGTAAACTCTGCGCAAAATATTCAGACATTCACATCATTGTTTGCATTTGGATCACGTCACGTTAATTTGTGGCACGCCTGATCTATGACAGGGTTATAGATGACAGCTAATTAATCTAACCGTTAAAAAAACACGTCATCGTGTATGCGGTCTTTGTTTTCTCGTTTCTCAATTTTGTTCCACAATAGTCCTTATGTTATCGTCATAGGCGTCTTCTCTCAGCAATTATTATTTACCGCGCTCTTCAAGATAGAGAAGATTAAATGCTATTCACAATTGGCCTGTTGCAACAGGTGGTAGTTCTAGAGAGTTGTGACGATTTCCATGAATTTATTAATTCTAATACGTTCTAATTTGCACATCTTGTTTTTCTCGCATGTGCCTTTTATCTCTGTTAATGAGGTTTGATTTCTAGAATAAGCAAGTGTCTATTATATTTTTGCCTCCTTCGCATGCCAGAAAGCTTCTTTGGAATAACATACCAAACACCGCTTGATTCTATACCTGCAGACACCACTGGTTATCGCCGGGTACTCCAGGTTCCTCCAATAACGAAACTGGACCAGAAAATCAGTAATGGTCTATATGTGATGCCATGCTCATGGGCCAAAACTCGAATGCTTAGCCACCTGTCTGGCCTTCAAATCGTATATGGTTTAACTGACAAATTTATTTAAATAATTTTTGTCCGTTCATATTTTGTATAATATTACAGTATAGGACACACAGACAAATTGTATAGATTGTAGATAGATTACAGGACACTAGAACATATCCGAAGACTCACCCCCTACTGTGTAAAGGGTTTTTGGATTGCGGGTTGGTTTATTTCTAAACTGAAGAATCAGAAACGCTGAAACTTGTGTCAGAAAGATATTTACTGAAACTCTCGAGAAGCTAGCTAGATTTTATTATATCAACTTCCTAAAGTTACGCAAATTACGCTAAAAGTGTACCGTAGTAACAAGCAGACATTTTACATTGTATATTGTTGATGATATAGAATTAAATGGTGTCGTCACGTATATTGTTTTGAATGAATGTTGTAAAAAATGAAAAACATTTTGCCAACACTTAATTAACTCACGTACGGAGGAAGCGTGTGAACCTTAACATATTAATTATATTATACTTGATCAATGCTTCATCAATTATTGCTCTTTAATTTATAATAAGCGATGTTAACATGCATGATAAGTTAATTAACTGAAACGTTTTGTTTGCACTCTGAAACGGTTTGTTTGTAACAATTGTAAAGGCTATTCACTTGAAATTTAATTGGTTTGTTGTGCCGACATCACCACGTTTATGTATACCACGTAAGGCCAGGACCATCATCACTTCAGTCTTCAAATCATACAACTCTTTCTTGACATGCAAGTCTTTTGCTTTGTACAAAGCACCCTAAAAGGTTTTTAAATCTATTTTGTTGCAGATAATAATTTCATCAATGCATACTCAATGATAATTATTTTATGTTTTTCTTGTAGAATTTGATAAATTTAAAGAAAGAGAACGAAGAAGCAGATTTTCAGGTTAGTTGGTGAATACTTTTAATTTATTTGTCAGTAAAGTTTTCATTAGGCGGATGAATTGAGGTGTACGACTCCAATAAGATAGCGATGTACAAATATGTATTAAAAAAATCCATTTTATCAGTTTTGTCCTGGGGTTGTCCTTACGAAATAAAACAGGATTTATTAAAGAACGAACAATACGGCAGCGCTATAATTAGTGATTTACGGGGAGTCGTAGGGGAGGTCATTACTTTACTGAAAACAACAAAACAGCTCGGGCTTAAAAACATTAACTATGCCGTCATAAAAACGAAGCTCGTGAACCAGACCCCGCACATGCCTCGTTTTTATACTTACAAAACCATTCACAGTACATGACTGCCCCTTAGCCAAATCTATTTTCGATACAGAAATGCTTGTTTTGCGTATTATATTCAGATCGATACTCACAGACGATAGGCAGTTTTTAAAATGTTCTCTCTGAATGAGATTAGCATTGGCAATTATCTTTATTCACATGGCTATGTTCTGGCCGGGGCATGCGGGATTTATACAGTCAAGTAAAGAGCCTATAGTTGTATTGGAAAACTGTGGGGAAAACAGTCCATATAAATTGTACGGTGCATGATGATATCATAACTTATCAACGTCTGCTCACTGATCTGAAACTGAAACTGGATTGACTATCTATTGTGTATGAAACGAAGCCGATATTCAATCATTACTATGGCACTAAAAAGCAATGGAAACCTCTTTCTTGAAATGTTATTTACTTGTCAGAAATACTAGGAAGTTGCCTTGTATATATTTGTAATGTTTGAAGACGTTCAGCTATGGGACATTTCTCAGTACCTACGGTCCCTAAGCTTTGTAATGCGGATTCAGTGGTCCAAGATTACAGTTAACTATTCTGAATGACAATTATTGGCTGCATAAAACCGATTTACACCAATTTTTCATATTTACAAAATTCCTATACTCCTCTGATTGGTTCCCTCTCACAACATCGCTTACAGTGTGGTAAATTGCAGTCTGGAGGTTGTTTGCAATACCGATCTTCCAATCTTCATTTTTCGGCGAAAAAGGCATGCGCTATCCAGTATAGTTTTAAGATCAGTGGTGACTTAATTTGCGCATTCCTCAAATTTCTAGAACGCCCTTGATTTTTATAATTCGCTTATTTTACACGTCATCGTGTCTTGCAATTAAATGTTTTGAGCCAAAAAAGGAACACTGCTCGGACCGACGGCGTCTTGTGATGTTAGCTGGCGTACCTGGCGATGTTACCTGAGCTTCTACAGGCATTTTAATACTTCATCATTTGCTGCACTGATTGCAATGTATGAGTGCAAATGCTGAAAAGAAGATGTGTTGTCATTTTGGGACGCAGACACGCAGTTAATATTATCATGCGAGGCAGAGATAATATACTAACTTCGTTGAACCAATATAGAAGAATTAGGTTTTATTGATACAATTACAGCGCAGCACAATTATATAAAAATTTATTCGTTATATCCATGCAGTAAGTTCTTCAGACTCTAGTGTACGATTATTTATGTCATTCGGGAGTGCAATTGCGTTTCAACGTTGGCGTTTATCTGCCTCGTACCGGCCAGGCGTTTACTGCGATTCTCTTGAGAAATCGTATGAGTTAAGGTTGGACGTTTTAACCTAGGCTTTTTTAAGGAAAATAATCCTGTCAGTACCGAGTGACCAGGTTATTTAAGGAGTCATAATTTGCGCTATATGCATATATTAAGTTTCTCGGATGTTTATATTGGAAGAATATTAATAGTTCTGTAAGAACACCTGTTTGAACGTTTAGGTGTAGGTAGTGCTGCATGGAATTTCATGCATGGTGCACTGACGTGTGATATTGTTTTGTTTTGCTTCATATCTCTCTTCATGACTTTCATCTTACTCCTTGGTACGTACACAAGATAAATAGGAGATGCGCTGGTCGATACAACTTTATAAAGAAAAAACAGAGAAAATATGCATTTATTATATATAGTCATTGTATGTTGGTGTTGCATCACAGAATCATCGTAAAGTCAATTGATTTGCCATGTACTACGAGGACCCAATTATTATGAATCAAACCGTTTTCTTAAATTGAATTCCCATGCAACCTATTCCAGAAATTAGTGGATCGTGCCCAAAGGTATTTAGTTTAACTGCTCAATCTGTACCCCATCGTAATCGACATATCTTAGTCGCTTACTTCGCGTGCCACGGAAATTCTTTCGTGGGTATATGAGAATTATTGAGGAATCTTCATTATGATGGGACAAACTAATAGGATAATAAATGTAGCAACAGCTGTTGAACCCATCTTCTAGTATCGACTTCCCGCTCCTTAGATTGTAATCGATATATTGGCTAATCTAGTTGGTTGTGTACACCACCCTAACCTGATGTGGTGGACCCAATAATTCCACCGAAATGGTGAAACCAGGACGATTTTGCCACCAATTATGTCTTATTCCTGAAAAGTGTATACTATTCGCGCTGCATTTATCAGTGAAGTGTAAAGGGGAAGTTCATTGATTGTTTTATTTTTATAAGGTTATGCTTTTGTAAACACTATAAATTAATTAGCTTTTCCCGCTATCTGACCGGGCTCCTGCGCTACTATACAATATCAGTATGCTATGGCTTGATAACTTTGTTTATCTGATTTCGTATTCATACTATAGAGAGCTGATATGTAAGCGGGTACAAGATTGCAACATTGCCAAGTTGTTAGTTATTGTCACAATTTTACAGTGAAATGTGTTTCCATGAGAACGATACAATAGTGTCCATTGAATTTTGGCACCTATCTACTGTGAGAAGCATCTATCTTCTCTCTTCAAATTGCGCCTGGAAAAACGCTCATAAGTTATAGAATTTTGTTATTTGTAGACTGCAAGTTGAACGTAGGCGTTGCCCAACCCAGAATGTATACGTAGAACCTTCCTAAACGATAAACAACTTCTGGTCAATGGTCATATTTTCGCTCGCTTCTCTGGTTTAAATAAATGATTACAAAGCCCAGTCGAATTGTAATCAAGATTCGAATTGCACGTGTAACTTGGTTTTCGCCAGTATTTTTATAGCGCTTGCATATAAAGATCATGCAACTATTCTTATTATAATATTGCGAAAATTATAAATTTGATAGTATGATAGTGTGCAATAACAAAAAAATATTGTTTACTGGAGCTATTAGTCTTCTGTGTAAAAAAAGTTTGTATACAATTTCAAGAGTAAACTGTGCATTGTCTCAAAGTTAAATAGCTTTCCCTCACTTGTTATATTAGCTGTAACCATCGTCATTCAGTGATATGATCATTCCACCATACTAGCCGAAGTTGTTTATGATTAATTGACCTGTCAGCAAAATTTTTCTCTCCATGAAGTTTGAAGATATTAAATATTGCTTGAAGGTATTCCAGAAATTGGCTATCTCGTCGCGGGCCGCGCCACACAAATAGCGTGCTGGATTGCGATATTTGTCTACACTCGAACATAATCGACATAAGTTCAACATATTTGCATCATGATAAACTGAAATTGCCGAAAATTTTTGAAATCATGAGAAGAGCATATGTTACGATGCTCAGGCAGGCGGCAGTTCCTTATAGATACCCTATATTCTGGACAGTCAACAATTTTTTTTTTCTTTTCGAACGAAACATTGTAATGACACCAGTCCAACTTTACTGCAATACTTCCCCTTATTTATAACCATCGGTCCTGACAGTTTTTAATTTCAGGACTCTTCCTAAAGGTAGACGATTTTACTCATCAGAAAGAAAGTTAATTGTAAAGTATTAAGGGGGTTCGAAATCAGATTATTTCGCTACAATTCTCCATACAAATTTGGGCAAGAGTGCTCCCCCAAGAAAGGATCAGCCCCGTACCTTATGGAGGGGGGCGTGGAGTCGTGGACCCACCCCCTCTAACTTTGTTAATGTTACTATGCCAATGAGAAATACAATTGCAAGACCGATTTGTAATGAGGAGTACAGCATTTTTTTAATGAAGAACTGAATTTCTGAAATAGAGCAATAGTGCCAGTGAGTCTACTTTTTCAGAACAATCATATGTGAATTATGGTGGTGATGATAATATGGATCTAACACCGCTGGGTGTTGAGTCAAGGTGACCGTTACTTCACAATTGGTCAAGTAAATGCCCTAAAGATATTTTCTTTGAAGAGAAACTAAACTTGCAGTTGAAAAGCACTATCTCGTATTATTTCAGTCTCACACCTGATATACAACCTATTTCAGAATCATCGTCAGGGAAAGATGATGATATATAATAAAACGGATCTAAGGACATGCAATGAGCTTGTTGTGCAGTTGCACCATCGCTACACAGCCGGTGCCACTACGTTGTACTCAGTTGGCCAAAAAATGAACATTGGCCAAACAAATGAATATTTTTCATGAAAATAATTCAAAATGACTTATGCGTATAAAGAAATATAATCGTATTATTGCAGTCGTGATACTCTTAGATAGTCATCTCTGAGAGACCCTTATTATAAGGCTGCTCTCCAGTTGAGTGTTTTTCATACGTGCGCACGTACACACACGGAAAAATTTAAATCCATTTAAAAGTTTCTTATGAAATAATTTACTGAATAAAAAAACACAGCGTCAGTTTTGTGTATGATTTGAAGTATATTTGTTGAGGCAATTATAGTACTTAAAAAAATGTAGAAAGATTTCAACGTTTTCGTTTGTATATGTACTTGTGAGAAACGCTTAAATGGAAAGCAGCCTTTAGTTTGGAATGGTAGCGTGAATGTTTACGATAAGGGCAAAACAGCAGGAAACCACTGAAATATCCTATACATAACACATATACACCTCGTACTCTTTTTTATGCAAAACTGTGTAAAGTCAGTGAACAACTTGAGTCTTTACGGTTCTATGCTTTATTTATTAGAAACATAAGATGTACAACGCAGGACCTTCATTGTATTAACACAGTCCTGTACTTTAATAGTACAGTGAGTATAGGAATATTGTACATGAATGAATGCATGCGAATGAATACGTTATTTAAGCAAGGTAAAACCCATCAGGATTTTACATATTAATGCGTAAAAATGACAGAATTACTGTTCATATATATTACTAAATTACAAATTCTATCATTTGTACTATAATAAAACATCTGCATGCTTTCCATTTAAGTGTTGTATAATGAAGAGTTTAAAAAGTTGAAATAACTATACTGCAGCCAATTTCAAATTCACCCAGAGTGTTTGCCTTTCACAACAGTTCCATATAGCACCGCTCCACTATAACTGAAGTTATTTTTTTCATTACAGATTGTTTCATCTAATCATGAAACCATACATGATTAAATTAACCATTTAGTTGTACTTAGAGTTGCTGTGTGAAATGGAGATAACAGTTTCTGAATGATAAGCGACTTTCCTTGTCTTTCTCATTTTTGATTTCATGATTTTTCAGAAATTACGTAGCTAATTGTTCAACCAAAGGTATCTGAGGAAGAAAAATGGAAAATCTGTATCCCCAAAGGGATTTGTAAAAGGGTTTCAAATTCGCAAATGTAATTAGGAAAATTGAAATCCAAACTCAAGAAAAACGATTTCATAGCTGTAACTGAATAGACACGATGATTTTTGAATTTTAAAGAGTGTCTAGACTTCTGACTATATTGCGTCAGACTCGTCAGAGACTCAAAGCTTAAATAATTTATATGCCACCCTCCATATAGTAATGTAATCTGAAACGCACATGCGTATTAACGATAAACGTATTATACATAATAGGAAGTAATATGGCTTCTTGGAATTCCTGGAGGTCGAGCTCTTGTATTTCATGTACAAAAATGGTAGTGTTACCAAAGGTATGAATGCGTGTTAGAATTAAGTGCATGAACATGCAGAATCTCATCCTATACAAAACAGACCTTTTTGCATGGTACATGATGATGCCATATTTTAATTACCATGCTGTGTATATTCGAGCTGGCCATGTCATGTAACAAATATGTTCAGCACTCGAATTCTTTTAATTAAGGCTGCTTAACAGGTATTAATCTCTCTTTTTTGCATAACAACAGGACAATGAGCGACGTAGCACTATATATTTGTAATTTGAAATATGAAAAACAAGCTGAAAAACGTACAATCCTATTATTTGCAAGCTATAAAACAGATTTCATCATTCCTTTCAACATACTGCCTGAATATCCGGCAAACCCAGGGAGACAGGCATTTCCCTGAAATCAGGTATATAGTATATGCAGGACATTTTGAACCAAATCGATAATTTGGAACCCAAAATTTAGAATATTTAATTTAAAAGGCATTATTTATTCATTCACATTATTTTAGTTTATTTAACCAGAAAAATCTTTATCTTTTGTTTCAGCCTATCATATATATATATATATATATATATATATATATATATATATATATATATATATATATATGCCAAAATTTAGAATATTTAATTTAAAAGGCATTATTTATTCATTCACATTATTTTAGTTTATTTAACCAGAAAAATCTTTATCTTTTGTTTCAGCCTATCATATATATATATATATATATATATATATATATATATATATATATATATATATATATATATATATATATATATATATATATATATATATATATATATATATATACACACTGAAACTTTGTACAATTTTTTCTACCTATATATAAAAGCGTTCAATCGTTTCAAGACAAAAACGTCTCGATGTCTGATGTATAGCTTGTGAAACGTCTCGATGAGAACATATATAATTATGTATTCTTCAACATTTAAAATAAATGAATGATATTTGGTGAGAAAATTAAAGTTTATGTATATGATTCTGTATCAGATACTCAAACGCCTTCACGCTCGTGATTTCTTTGTGCTTTCTTCATGAATTATTGAGTTTCAGAAATGCGTTAATAAATTAATGCAGCCCCCTTCTTCTCAATACTGGATGTATAATTCAAAACTCGTTTTATCAAATTTCCTGTTCTTGCGAGCAACCTCAAGAAATAGTTTAACTATAAATAGCCGAATCGTAAGTTGTTGTTGGGCCACCTGGGCGTGATGAATAGCCTAACTAATGCAGTGCGAACACTTACAATGATGTAAGAGTAACTGCTCTGAATAATGATTTTCAAATATTTATGCTGTTCACACTTTTTGTTTGTTTAAAACATTAGTGCGGTCTCCTTCCATGTATAGTCGGTCTAGTCAGTCAGCATTGGGTGTTCACCTCTTTCGGTCTCATCAAGCGATTTTCTGCATGCCTTTTAATGATAATACCTGTCTTAATTAATCAGTTCAAATATTTATTTGCATACCTATTTTATTATCGACCGAGAAGTAATTGTATCCTGGACCAAGATATGACCACCCAACTCTAAATACAAAATTGAACGTGGGTGCATCTTTAGTGCTCATATCTTGTTTGTTGGTCTGAAATGGTTTTGTGTTTTCTTGTTTGTTTTATATTTTCCATATAAAGAGTGAAAATATTTGGATAGTTTTGATTCAAGAGATCATTATGACCGCTTTGTTTACAAATATCTTGATCAGGTTGAACAGATTTGTGCACGACGTAATGGGCTTATCTTTGCACGTCAGATAGGCTTACTGAAGGATTTTTGCGCATGAGCTTCATGATTTTTTCATTGAACTCTGAAATTTGCCTCAAGGAGTTCTGGATTTCATCATGCAAATTATATTAACTCTCGTACCTTCCGGCAATATGTGCATTGACCAAAACGTGAATTGAAATGTATTTTTTGCTGAGGTGTTTCTTCAGGGGCAAAGCCACGATGGAAAAGCTATTGTCAAAGCTTATCTTTTGTGGAGATATTTGTGTCGTTATCATCTGCTTTTGGCATTAATTGAGCTGCCTGAGACAAGCTAGTTGCGATAAAAGCGAGCGAAATGCCCAACAGCTTCATTTCGAAGCAGACCGAAGAATACAGCTGGACCTTTGAACTAAGACAACGGTTGTACAGGGTGGAAAGTTTGGAACAGTTTTGAAACTTTGTAAGTTCTTGCTTATCATATAGCTATAGTGCGTATAAACGGAATTCTACAACTAATTTCCACGTAATTCAGCATTCCAGTAATTAGGAGCCCGCTCTGAAGGATGGCATGAGGGCATGCATGGTTTATATCATTCGCAACAATGATTTGGGTTTGGTTCTGTGGTATAGCAGATTAATTTAACACAAGGGCTTCTCCCCATTTCCGTTAGCTTCATCTTGGAACACGCGTGTCATTTGACTTGAGAAGTTAATCTGCAATTTTGCGGTGTCAAATTAATGCATGCGTCTACGCCATACGATCAATATATTGGCAACATATGGGTAAATCCACAGGAATTTTATTTAAATTAAACCAGTTTAAATTTTGCCGCAACTTTGCGTGGCTTACCAAAATACACAAGTCGCATGCTTCTGTTGCTTGTTTATTAACACGAATCTTCTACAATTAAGATCATACGGGGATAAGGTTATTATACAGCTTCTATAATATTGTTTTCTGTTGTACATCAGAATATCATACATTATATGCATAATTTCTTCTCATTATTCTCAGAATACTCCTATTGATACTGGTTTTCTTGTGTCCTGAAGTAGTTGCTCCCTATACTTGCCAAACCATGCATCTTATCATGGGCGATGAATCGTCCTTGAGTTGAGTCTTGCTCATTTAAAGAGCAAGACTCAACTCAAGGACGATTCATCGCCCATGATAAGATGCATGGTTTGGCAAGTATAGGGAGCAACTACTTCAGGACACAAGAAAACCAGTATCAATAGGAGTATTCTGAGAATGAGATGAAATCATGTATATAATGTACGTATAGTATAAATATCATTCTTTATGTCTTGTTGTCGCGCATTCTAATATGATTCTATATGCAATGGCTTTAGAGTAGATTATTATTCAATTCTAGTTTTACTCCTTTGAAAACGCCCTATACATGATGCGTCAAGCAAGTCCTTGATAAACTCAGACTCTATTAATACTACACTCGGCGTTGCCACGCGTGTAAAGTGAGCGTAACATAGGTCAGTATGGTTGAGATGACTTATTTTAAATATAATCATGATGTCTCAAACGTGGGGGTCCAGTATGGGAGCAATATTCCAGAACAAATTGCCATAATTTGTGTCTGTATTGACTGGAAAAGATTAATAATATAAACTGTTCCATATTTAGAGCTAAGGCCCTTTTCAAGAGGTGCTTCGCTGTCTAAAGGATTTTAAATTTTTTCAGGAAGTACAAGCACAGCAATTTAATTTATACAATATATGATGTATTGATGTTCTAAGTCTCGGATAAATGTAAGCGCACTTAGGTTAGCTAACTGCTGTGTGACCTGTATTAGTCCGCCCGCTGGTCCTCCCCCATGGTTTTGATGACTCTATTTAAATATTTGCACAAAACTAGAGAATTAGATGTGTTATATTTTGATTTCTCGTGTGCATGCTACTATCGCCTAGATGTCGCCAGGTGCGTTTTTAAAGCCCAAAAAACATTTCAGGTACTCCTGGAAGGCGAAATAGTTTAGGACGATCAACATTCTTTGCCGTATTCCAACAGGTCGCATTTCTGTAAATGTCTAGTCGTTTAAATATTACGACAATGCTTTTAACGCTTAGGAGCATTTACACCTTCCTGCGCTGACATGTGAGCGATTGACGATTAATTTGTTACCTAGTGGAACCGCGTTTCATTACTCTGTAACTTTGATGAGCCCATTTGGCTGGGAACTACTGATAAGACCACTTGGAACATTTGTACACGAAATGATGTTAAAATGTTCAAGTTAGTCTTGGTTATGCTTAAAGCTGCGTGCTTAGCTTTACTCTACTCAGCGTGAACTTCGCCCTGACCCCGGATTTTGGTTTGTTTTTTCTTCGTCAACGGAAACGGGAGTGCCAATCGTTTGCATCGACGACAACTGCATTCTTTGCCACTTCTTTACACTTGCTTGTGAACACTGAAGTCCGACAGGCTGCGCGCGCTGCTCATGTCACAAGAATTTCTTAATTAAATCGCGAGGAATCTAATGGCATGTATCTTTTTTAAATATTTTATCTCAGAACTTGGCAGTCACGTCATCGGGTCTTGTCGAGTATTAGCTGAAACGTTGGTAATCTAGCCGTTACCTGTGTGACCCTAACATTATTCACATCAACCGTTCCATATTCAAGACTTTATCATCATACTGGTAAGTACATATTTGTAACTGTAGATTAGTGGCTCGACAACAAGGTCAATTCATTAAGGTTATGGTAGTTGGAGTATTTACTGTGGCGCCAGGCGCAATCTTTTGACATCAGGCAAAACCATTGGTTACTCCACGGGCTTGATTGAACCCTGCTTGACAGCGTAAAGAAAACAAGTGTTGTTATTCAAATAAACCCCGACCGAGCACCACGCGGACTGAACTTGCTTGACGCATTTGCGCAAACTCGCGCATGTAATGAATGCACTCACCTGGTATTTTCAGGCGCAATTTATTCACATATATCTTTAATAATTCCGTGCAAGTGCGCTTTATGTAATCTAACTTATTTGCGCAGTTGTGACAGTTCTTTGCGGTGGATCTTCGATAGTTGCTTAGTAACATGATTGCGCATTTATTATTACCGACATTTCTTTCAAAGGAAACGCAAAGTTCACAAAATCGACGCTTCTGTGTGTCTGGAGTGCTCTATCAATGACAGATCTGCTTGTCTTATTTGATCATGAAACATTATTAGGCGACCACCGTTTAGTTTATCGAACGACCTTTGAAATTAACTACTATCAGGTTTACTCTCAATTAACCAGCTTAGTATTTAAAGCTGTGGGCACAATGTGCGGGTAAAGCGCTGCGTGTTTGCGTTTAAATTAACTTTGGTTTTAAGTGTTGTTTACTATGGCTTTAATGTTTCTACTAATTTGATAATCCCAGACAAAACAAACTTATACAACGGTTTGCGTTTTAACGGTTTGGATTTGTTGAAATATTTAGTTGGAATGCACGTAGTATGAAATCTGACCACGTGTATACTGTGCATATGATCTAGCAATCAGCGCTCCCTGCTGAGTATGTTCTAGTGTTTCTGCAGACATTGATCGTCTCATGTTGAAACTTCAACTGGAGTGAATATACAGCTGTCTCTTCGCCAGTCCCTGAAATTTGCTTCGAAAAACATTAACATCATGACGTTGCGGTTTGGAAAGCCTTGTAAGGCAGGCACTTGCGCATTGGAACAATAGGACGAAAGGCTCATGGGAATGCTCTAAACAAAACTTAATGCATTCCTATCATTCAACGCGGGATGAGCGACTGGGGATGAGTCAGACTATTTTAATAAATATAAGAAAAAATATTCTGAATAGTACATCATCTTGTAAACTCAAGATACGAGTTGTTGAAAACAAGACACGAAATCCAAGGTGGTGTTTCTATTGTTTCAAATTGACCATGCCTTTGAAATCAAATCGAAATATCAACTTTATAAGAGTGACGCTATTCCGAGTATTTATTTATAATTTGTTTTTAAGACAAATGTACTACTTAGCATCGACCTTCACATCACATATTAGTCCGATTTCCGGTTTCATGAACGTTCTAAGATGCTACATGGCCGAGCGTGCAAGAGTGCAGTTTTGTCGAGAATATGATTGTTGTGTAAATGCAAAGCTCGCGTACAATCGTATAGTAAGCGCATGATGGTTAAGTTATAACCTTATAGTCATAGATAACCTGTAATTCCACTACTACAATATAGGATGCACATGCACTGATAAGTCTTATATCAACGATATCTCGTTATGAAATAGGTGCAGGTTCGTTATTTGGAACTGCACTTCGTTTTTGCATATACTTGGGCAACTGGGTAATTTGCATAAATTGCGATTCATTGCTAATACTTTTAGTTGCCTCAGACCAGGGGTCTCAGGTATATTGGTGTTAAACCATTTTACGTTGGATACAGTATTTTATTGTTAAAAATAGGTTGAAATACGGGTATAAAATATTTTACATTTACCCACGATTAAGTACTCGGGCAGACAGACGTAGCCTGGAATTTAGGTATAATAGTAATAGCTAGTGGATTTTATTTGTGGATTTTAGTTAGTTAATAGTTAGTTTAGTTAATAGTAGAATTTATTTGTGGTATACTGGTATATTGAGCCAGAATTGTATTCTATTGGTATTCTGATAACCTGACCTTCTTGTCTAGGCCTTAGGGTCTGAGCCAATTATTTCGTGTTCTTCCTTGAAAACCGTTTCGTATTGTTGTATTACAGAAACTAGAAGTATTCTCAATGTTTTTAAATGCGACATAATAATTCTGGCATCCCCGTAATAATAGAGAAACATTTTGTGAACGAATACAATGTTGTAGCTGACTCGTTCCCAGTCGCTCGCGGTGGATGATGAGAGTATTTAATGACAAACTCCGCCATCCGTCATCACTAGGAAGAAGATCAAAGCAAATTAATGTCATGTTATACGATGTGCTCACAACGGATTAATGTTTGCCAAATGTAAACATTGGTGAGAAAATATGGCGCTATATACGTATTTTTGGACTATTATTAAAATCACTTGAAAACTGATCTGTTCTATAAACAGCAACCGCGCTGGCTAAAGCGCTAGTTTGTGGTAATCGGGTATTTTCTAGAGTCGATGCCACTTAATATAGAGTGATCATGCGGTAAACAGGAGCTTGACTGGATTACAATTTTCATTCTTTCTTTTTAATAATATTTTTTCGATATGTTGCTCACCCAGTAAAAACACCTGAAAGGTATATTGAGTACATATGCAATAAATAGTGCTCACCGAGGTCCAAGGATTTTTGGTACCAAATAACAAAAGCAAGAGCAATGCCATTGAAATTGCTCCTTCCTTTAATGAATTTCTCGCCCTATTATACAAAGGGGATTTTCTGAGCAGTCATGATATTATCTGCAGGGATTGCAAATTTTTACTATAAAAATTATATAAACAAAATTCAGTGAAAAACAATAAAACGTCCGTGGCAATGCGTTTTAAAAAAATGATATTTTCACACGTAAAAATATCGTATTTTTTACGTGTATTTAAATACGATTTTTCTCAGTGGCCAAAAACTCTATATAACACTTATGTTTATATAATAAAGTTGCTTATTTATCATAAATAATCCATATGCCATGCATTATTATGATTTATAATGACAAAGTAGGAGCTGAAGGAGCAAAGATTCCAGAGACCATTTTGCCAGCTGCAATAGTGTTCATCAAAGGGGCCTACCTATAAGGCTACCTGCTACCTATTTTTCGATCATTTTCTACCGATATACTTCATTTCAACTTGGCATATCTGCGGTAGATTTCCTGAGTAGATTTTCAATATTGATTTCCAGTAAGTCTGGACCAGCAGTCTCGACTTACGATAATCAACACCAAATGTTTCAATATATTCAACATATGTTTCAACTCATTGAAACTTGCTCGCTTTTGTCTAATCATTCAACTTATTACGACATGATTTTGATCAATGTACCTTAGGCTATTAATTGACTTTTTCATCATTATCGTTGCCATCTTGAATCGTGGTGCATTATGGTCTAGTCTCGGTAAAAAAGTTAGATTGAATATATGTTTGTACTGTATAGGTCTGTATAGTGTGACCATTCCATTAGGAAAATGTATTGTATTGAGGGTCCTGAAGGGGTAAAATGGGAACTGGGATTGATCTATTTTTAGACTGGGAAAATGGGATTTGGGTTGCTGGGACTGGGATTTGGCCACTGGGAATGGGAAATGAAGTCCTCAAAAATGGGAATGGGATTGAGGTAATGCGAGTCGATTCCCAATTTTTCTGCGTTTTGAGAGTATTTTAAAATACAATTTTGATCCGTTTTTGGTGTCTTTGGTCATGATTTTTGTTGTTAACTATATTATTCACAGCACTACCTGCGAAAGGCATACTCTGGCACCCGGAATTCTGGGTTTTATGATTATGCGTGTCTCAGAATGCTGCAAATGCCATTTCCGGGATTCAAATTTAAAAATTTTCCGTGCCTTCGGCACGAGCCCCCCCCCCTAATATTTCATAAAGTGTCCGCCACTTGCTTAAAAGGTCTTAGAACTGTTTATTCTACCGATAAATAAAGGGCTTTTTACTGACTGGGATTTCAATAACTGGGACTGGGATTTGTAATAAAAATCCAACTGGGACTGGGATTTTGCCAAAATTTCGGGTGGGAAATGGGATTGGGACCCCCCCTTCAGGACCCTCTGTATTGATCATTTTCTTGATAACAATGCCCATGTATTTATCAATTTCATGAGCATGACCGTTGCATTATTTTTCATGTATAGCTCTGAGGAAGTTGAAAGTTTATGATGCAATTAGTAAAGGGACTCACTAAAATCTAGTTCCTTTACTTCTCCATTGTTGTTTTAGTCCATAAAACACCAAAACATGCACCGTTTCCCATTCTGTTGTATAATATTTTGCCTAACAATTGGGCCTGGAGAAAATAAAAATGCTCTAAAAGCAACCGACAGTATTTATTGGCGAAATCTATTGATGTAGAATATTGTCGGTAATTTGAGAATGGTAAAAATTTTGATATGTAATAATGAAAGTAAGAATTTTAATTTCCCTGTTGTGACGTTAAATAAATATTCAAGAATCAACATAAACCGAAATGATGTACGTCCGTGGCAATGCGTTTTACAACAAATGATATTTTCACATGTAAAATTATCGTATTTTTTACGTGTGTTTAAATACGATTTTTCTCAGTGGCCAAAAACTCTATATAACACTTATGTTTATATAATAATAAACTTTATTTCATTGTACTTTATTAAAACATTACATTTCATGAATATATGCAATAAAGTAGTTACGTCTATGTTATTTCTGTCTGCTGTGAAATGTTTGAAAAAAACTGCACCAAACTGGAAATAAAGGGGTCGGTACCTTTTCCACTTGGACGGCGATTTTCTGAAGGACGTACGAAGCAATCTCATTGTTCTGAAACAAAAGCTATTGTTAAATGGAGCCAATGAAAATCACTTCAAAAAAGCTACGTAGCATCCCGAGCAAAGACAAAGATGCGAATGCCTGACTCACGTTTTCATA